ATATTAATTTTTCCTGCTAAGGCGAAGGCGACGACGAGGGGGGGGGAGGCGAGGTATGCTGCGCGGGTGAGGGGGTGTATACGGCCCTCAAAGTTTCTGTTTCCTGAGAGTACTGAGGCTACAACGAGGTCACCTGAGGTGATAGCCTCGGTGACCTCGGCATCGAACTCCCCTGTATTGCCTATACATGTCATACAACCATACCCAGCTAGGTGAAACCCAAGCTGCTGCAGGCTCTCTAGCAGCCCAGCATCCTTCAGATATGTAGATACAGCTCGAGAGCCAGGAGAGAGAGAAGTTACAATATATGGGGGAACGTATAAACCTCTTTCTACTGCTTTCTTAGCTAGTAAACCAGCCGCAAATATAACACCTGGATTACTTGTATTTGTACATGATGTGATAGCGGCTATACATACAGATCCGTTTTTTAATATATATTCTTTTCCTTTATGTGTAAATAAAACTTTTTTTTCTTTCTCTTCTTCAGATAAACCAAAACCCTTGAAACCTATTGGCTGACTCAAACATAAACTAAAATCTTTTTTTATATTCGATACAGAAACGCGGTCCTGGGGCCTCTTGGGGCCAGCAACACATGGTTCTATAGAACACANTTTATATTCGATACAGAAACGCGGTCCTGGGGCCTCTTGGGGCCAGCAACACATGGTTCTATAGAACACAGGTTAAGCTCAACAACGTCAGAGTAAGCAACACGAGATACTCCTTTTCCTGTTGCTGTTGCTGTTGCTGCTCCTGTTGCTGCTGCTGCTGCTGATGCTGCTGCAGCAGAAGCAGCAAATAGCTGTGTTGCTCGAGTATAACGCTCCACCATCTCCACGTGAGATGAAGGACGCCCCGTCATTCGTAAATACAATAAAGACTGATCGTCCACCGGGAAAAAACCACATGTTGCACTGAACATACATACACACAACAAAAACCCTAAACCCTAAACCCTAAACCCTAAACCCTAAACCCTAAACACCCTAAACCCTAAACCCTAAACTGATCGATCCCCTTCCCGTGGGCACAAAGGGAAAAAGGATTTTTGGTTTTCGATTGCAAATCGTTAAATATATACAAATACATATACTGCATCTACACAGTTATATTTAAAACAATAGGTATACATAATGTACCCTTTATATATATATATATATATATATATATATATATATATATATATAAGTATATATTACCCGTATTCTGGGGCCATATTGGATACAGTGGCTCTGTCTGCGAGTGAGAGTGAGGCGAGGCCGGGCCCAAAGAATTCAACAAATTTTCCCACGACGCCTTTTTTACGAAGATTTTCAGTGAGGGTTAATACGAGGTCTGTGGCGGTGACGAGGGGGCCGAGCTGCCCGGTGAGGTGTACACCCACCACCTCAGGCAAAACCATAGATATATGCTGGCCCAGCATCACCGCCTCAGCCTCTATACCACCAACACCCCAACCCAATACACCCAAACCGTTTATCATCGTTGTGTGTGAATCTGTTCCTACTACTGAATCCGGATATAGTACTTCTAATCCATCGCTGCTGCTGCTGCTGCTGCTGCTGCTGCTGTTGCTGC